TACTGATATTAAAATATTGTGATTTTATGTACTTGAGAAAATTTTTCATGTATATTAATCTTTTTTGTAATTTTTATATGAAACTCTCATGTATATTCATTTATGGTTAAATGTTTTTAAATTTTTGTCATCTGTTTCTCATTTCATCTTGATTTTCATCCACTGTTTCCTATCATCAAGTACTTTAGGTTTTATAGCTTCACTGATACTTGTGGACAGATTCATGCTGTCTATTGCATATTTGTATGAAAATGTACAAAATTCATGTAATTGGTTTTTTCATCTCTCTTTCCCTTGTTCATTTGCTTATACTTAAGGCACCCCACATTTGCATTAGGAAGACAGATTTTAAATAATCAAGAAGTAGATTCGTAATCAAAGTACATTTTTAAAATCTTATAATAGATTTGTAGCAAGACAGAGCTCATGTATTCCTTCATTGCTTCCTAATGAAGCAAATTCCTGACAGATATATCAGGATGATTGTCTTGGCTACTGAGGGCAAGAAGAAAGGCTACTTGTGGACACTATGATGCATATAGTGCATATGTATATATGATGTATACAGAGCTGAAAATCATGTTGATTTGAGTAGTTTAGTGAAAATAATCACTTCTTAAAAGCTTGTGAAAAATATTTAATGTTCCTGAGACAATTAAATTACTTAGTATAACTAAGAGTATAAGTTATATAATATTCAGCTGTCTTCAGGATGGATCTGATTGTAAAAGGCCATGCTACTATAAAAAGAATATTTCTTTGTAAATGCATTTACTTTAGCTATGTCTTTTTTTGTTATTATTTAAGAATTTCTGCTTTCACAAGCATATTTTTCTCCAATGGATCTTTCTAAGGTCAAGCAAGTTAATAAACCCTTTGTATTCAGAACGGTTTCATTCCTGCCATGCTTTTAACTATCATGCTGTCTCCTTGTTTCCTTCTATTTTTTCTTGCTTGTCCTCTATCATGCAGTGCTGATACGAGATTTACAGAACATATGGGTGAATCATTCCTTTGACATACAGGTGTGGTGCAAAGACTTCTGCCGGGACCTTTTGTGGCTGCGACCTGGTGAGCTGGCTAATTGAAGTCGGCCTTGCCTCTGACCGTGGTGAAGCTGTGATATACGGAGATAGACTGGTGCAAGGGGGAGTCATCCAACACATTACCAACGAATATGACTTTCGAGATGAGTACTTGTTTTACAGATTTCTTCAAAGGAGTCCTGAACAGAGTCCTACTGCTAGTAATACAACCACCCCCCAACAAGAAAGATACAAAGAAATTGAGCATTCATCCCTATCCTCACTTTCCCCTAAGACCTAAATTATGAAAGGGAGAACCCCATATGGAATTATATTCTAGCCCCAGGTCTGTTACTTTTTAGCTATATGACCTTAGGCAAGTTATACCTCTCTGAGCCTCAGTTGCCTCTTCTGTAAAATTTCACAAGATGCTTTCCTAACCCATGCTAAAGGTCTGTGATTTTATGTGTAACTAAAACACATAGGAAACTGACTTAGGCAAAAGAAAACAAAATCAAAATTTAAAGTTCTGATAATGAATATAATAATTACAGTCATTCCTCATTATCCACAGGGGAATGGTTCCAGTGTTCCTGCAGCTACCAAAATCTGAGAATGTTCAAGTCCCTTTTATAAAATGGTGAAGTATTTGCATATAACCTACTCACATCCTCCCGTATACTTCAAATAATTTCTAGATTACTTATAATGCCTAATACAATGTAAATGTTATATAAGTAGTTGTTATACTGTATCTTATAGGGAATAAAGACAAGGGAAAAAAGTATACATGTTCACTACATATGCAGCCATCGTAGGCCTAACATTTTTGATCTGCAGTTGGTTGACTCTGTGGATGAGGAACCAGCACTTAGGGAGGGTTGACTGTACCATAAACAATACTAATGTGCCAACATTGTAAAATCATTGCTTTCTGCAACTGTTTGCTATAATTTCAAAATCAACATCCTATTAACTATTCCTTTAAATTGACAGATTTTGTAGGTGTATTGCTCACAAGAAATGGACCTTAAATTATGACAACTTTACATTTATT